TATGGACTAACCAGAAAAAGAAGTGTCACACTTTTCTTTGGTACCTTCTGTTTGCATTAATATATGTAGGTACATATATTTTTTTGTGTCCCTGTTCATAGACTTTGCTCAACAGTAAAGGAAAATACACTGCAGAACACTATCACTTCTCCCAGTCCTTTTCATACTAAATTAAAATAAAGTTTTGACTGAATTTATCCATCATGGATCTAGTTATTGTTTACATGAGCTGTTTGCATGTTAGAGTGTCGTGAGGCAAAGCATTGGGAAAGACATCTAGTCGGTCAGGGGGCTGGCTGTCTTCCTAAATTCCAGTCTTCTTTTTTATTCTTAGACATAGCTTCTTATAAAACAGGCAAACCGCTTTATATTTAGGGTGGTTTTTTAACTTTCTGATCCAATTCAAGCAGAATAAGGTCTTTAGCTCCACTTGAGAGCGATCACCTACTTTAACTTCTGTTAAAATTACATTATTTTTTTACTAGTTGGAAACTGGTGGATCTGCATGCCAAAGTGTCTTTATTTAAAAAGGAAGAAAAAAGACTTCATTTTTAAGGTGCAGAATTCTTATACTGTATCTCTTATTTATATAAGGATAGACATAAATGTTTAGAAGCTTAATAAATCTAACACAGTGTAGGCTAGCAGCACTCTGCTTGTCATCCCCAAGAGGAGCCAAACCTCTAGAGCTGGGTATGAAGAATGGAAGTGGGGAGAGGCAGAAGAAATGGAGATGATAGCAGTTCTCTCTGGAGCCAGCTCTACCAACTTTATTCCTGAGAAATATTACTCTATCAACCATAACACAGTTTTGGTCCCACATCTTCTCAGATCTGGTGCTTGTGAGACTGAATCTTTATTCTTAAACAATTCACTCTCAGTGAATCTGTAATTTGATATACATATCTGTACATGTCACCATTGGTGACTCATCGTGCCTAGTATGGAGACTTTAAAAAGTTTTCGTCCTGCTGCATATGGCCTTTATGCGTGCTGTTATAAAAGGCAGCAGAACTTTATATACTATAGCACTTCATCTGGCCTCATATACTATGTCCATACAGGAAGGGTACAGGAGTCTCTATAACAGTTTGATAAAATACTGTTTTAATAGCATCCTATTAAGTAAATAAGTATGCTTAATTAAATATTCTTTTCCAACCATAAATAGATGACGTGTGTAAAAGTTGATTCTGACAACTTACACAATATTCTGAATATTATTTATCTGGATGAGACCTAATTTAAGTAATATATAAATGCAGATTCAGAGTCAGTTTCAGTTTTTCTAGCAGCACAGGTAGAGCTGAATTTTGTGCCCTCAAGGCTGAGGGAAGGGCACAAAAGCAAGAGTTTTCTGAGGAAGAGGGAGTGTAGGTGGTTCCTGCCTTGGAGAAGGGAGGGAAGGGTGGAGCTGGGCTGCAGGAGGGTTGTGGGAGGTAGCTGCCACTTTCTTGGCAACTGAACATGGAAGTAAGTTTTACAGTTCGGCAGCAAGGGAAAGAAGCAGCTGGGCTGTAGCTACACTGCTTGGTCCTAGGAGGTGTATGTCACTTTAAATGACTGCTCTTTGCCCATCCTATGAGACACAAGGCTTAAATAAACATAAACAAGGCAAATAAGCATGAACAACTACTGGGTTTTATACTCTATATATAGTGTATATGGTCTAAATTACATGACTTGTACCTCAAGCCCGGAGACTGCATCTTGTCTCTTCACACGATTCAAAAACAACACAGTTTACCCAGCAACATTATCTTTAGTGTATTGTTTACACGTATGCTTTAAAACCAAGCCTTCCCTAAAGTTGGCTATGGAAGGGAAAAATACACACAACACTGTTTTGAGCAGACCAAAAAGATGTTATTTAATAAAACATTGATTTTTGCTATTTGTTCCTTCACTCTTTCTGTTAACAAACAGAATATTCCTCGCACCAAAGCTTTTATGAAGCAACATATTCATTAATCATTAATTACAGGTAGTCAGTGCCAAAACACATCACCACTGCTCTTTTTTTTTTTTTTTCCATTCTGCGTGGTTTCTTACAGAAAAGCTGGGCTGATTTTAATTTTGAATGGTAAAAAGTAAAAATTACCTTTTTTCCCTTTCTCAAATGGCTAATTTTCTATTCTTTTGCAGAAATTGGAGGAAATATGTAAGAAATAAAGAACAGTGGCTGTAAAACTGTTCAATTTTACTTGTCTTCCTGAGCAAGGGGATAGTCAAAGCAGTTACGTGAGAATATATTTAACAAGAGAATGTGTTTTGTCTTAACACCAAGAACTCTAATCTCAGTAAATCATTGGACAAAAATTTTTGTTTACCACTGAATTTGAACAGAATCAAGTATTCACTTAGATAAGTGACCGTTGTTGTTGCCTTAACAAATAGGAAAAGACAGACTTTAATTTGTTTGTGGTAATTTTCATCTGTAAGTCAACACTAATGCTTAGGTATTTCCGTAGTAAATAAGAAAATACTCCAACTAGTTTACTGTTCTAGTTCTGATCTAAAATTTATGCAAGTACCTGCCAAACATAAACAAAAGTTAATTTCTTCTAATAGCACAGACCAATTACCATAGTTTAAGAGAAAGAATTTTGGGAGTGGGAAACCTGGAGTTGCATTGGGACTGAAAATGGTGAAAATTGTTTGTAACTTGATACATCTCTTCCCAGAAACTCAGCCAACATGACTCTAGTATCAGAATTTCTGAAACAGGCGTGGTTCATGGAAATTTGAATGTATTGTAAGTATTAACATCTTCCGAGAGCATCATGCTTATTTTCAAGTACTTTTAGAAGTCTTTTAAAGGTATAGGCCACCAACTGTCTTTCATACTCTCAGAGTGAAGAAAACTAATGGCAAAACTCCAGATAATTAGAACTGGTACCCAATTGTATTGCAGCATATAATCTAATATAATCGAATAACCTAGTAAATCTGCAACAGGTGAAATATTACTCTTATTTGCACATATCAGTCTGGTTATCAGTTCCTACGCAGATCTAGTTACTGCAATGAAATTATAATTCCCAGTAGCCAATCACTGATCCACTCAAGTTATCTTTTTGAAAGTACTAATCTGATGCTTAGGTGTGTGAATGCGTGAGAATATGCTCAGATGACGTACATGAGAAAAACAGGGAGTCTTAGGCTGACGTACAGGAGGCTGTGAGTTAGAGCCCAGGAATGTAAAGGAAGAACAAGAGTCACTAGTACATGCCCTGCTTTTCATATTGTATGTTGCGTTTACAGTGGAAACAGTTATAGTATGCAATAAAACATCTTGGATGATCAGTACTGATACAGATTAGAATGGAGGGTTATGGTGGTGAGAAGTCTGGAGGTATTGCAGTAGGATGACTTGGAGAATCTTTGTGATAATGAAGTTGATTAAGATATTGAAATGTCTGTCAACAATGTAAAGTGGCACACTGTGAAGTTAAAGGAGATCCCGAAAAAACATTCATCTTGAAAAAAATTGAACATAGAAGGGAAATTTCAGCAAATAAAGTTTTCTGCTCTAGACCTTTGTGGATTTTGTAATTTTGATTCCACAATATTTTGTGCATAAAACTTTGGCTCCACCATCCCATCCCCTTTGCACTCCCAGAGTCCTGAGTCATTTTGATTGTGTTGGTTACAGACAGTTTTTTATTGTTAGTAGATAAGTTTGCCGTGGAAACCAGAATACAAAGACTAACCCAGTGTGCCTGGGAAGCAGACAGCAAACCAGTCCCACTCCTCCGTTGACTCATCACACAAGTCACAGTGATTTTTTTAAGAAGTATAAAAACAAGTATTTAAAGTATCAAGTCCCTCTGCTCTCATACAACTAGTGATATGATTGTGAAGGGAGTTTAATATTTAATAATCAGACATTAGAAATGTACACAAATCAATACAGAATGCTGTATGTAAATCACGTATCTTCAAGACCTGGCCATTTGTCATTGTGCTATTCAACTTCAGTGGCAAAGGACTTAAAAAAACTTAAAATAGTGAGTTGTTCAAACAAGAAAAAGGGTATAGGTGATTCTGAAAAGTTTAGCTAAACTACTGTGGTGTTTTTGGTTGGTTTTGGTTTTGTTTTGGTTTGTTTTGTTTTGTTTTAATTAAAAAACCCTCATCAGCACACCATATATCACACCAAGGGAAATTTTCTATAAATATTTAATCCAAGTATCTCGGGGCATTTCATAACGTCTGTAAAATATGGTAACAAGTATGCTATCAGTGATGTAGTGCTGTTCATTTATAGGCCCTACCAGTAACTTGATTTGTCATGTTGCTGACTTAGAGCAAACCATGTAATCTGTCACATAGTAGAATTCATCCTCCCTGGTTAACCCCAGAGCACTTTAGACATGGACTAGGGAGTGCCCATCTAGGAGTGGATTCACCAAAGGCAGCCAGTAGATAATGCCCGTGAAGAAAGTGTGGCTTATGTCTCATGTTTAAAGAAGTTGGGTAACAGTTCTCCACTTCCTTGTAGGATTACAATCAAACTCTTCCCTGAGATATTGCATGCAAGAAGTGATTGTGGCCTTAAATATGACTCAGCTGAAAGGTCACTTAATGTGATGCATGGTCAATTTGCATAAGATGAGCAAGGAAATTAGAAGCACTTTGCTGGCAGTGCCTGTAGGATTTAATTGTGGTGTTAGAGCTTTTAAAATTTGGACATAATTGACTAACATGACATTTAAGTGTTTTCCTGTGGATCCAACTCTGAGAAACAGGTCTTCAGGTGCTAAAACAATATATAAAGTACTTTCTGTTTAATATGAGGTGTGAAAGGAATATATCCAATGCCTATCTATCAGTGAGTCTGTTCAGTTCTCTGTAGTTACAAAAATTACTTATGTTCCTTGATAGTCCTATAATAGGCAATGCCAAACACACAGTTTATTTAGGAACATAAAATTGTTTCTTTGTAAAACTATTATTTGGAAAGAGCAATTGGTTTTTGTTTTATTTTTCCTCTGCAGAAAAGTTCAAAAGGTGGCCCTGGAGTACAGACCTACCCTAGCTTTGATCCATCAGCTGATGTTGTTGCTTTGGACAAAGCTATTACTGTGAAGGGTAAGAGGAGTAATATTTAACCTGCTACTTTAGGACTCTTCCTTAGGAAATTTTGAGAATAGGACTGAATAAAATATCAGTGTGAGAGGCAATGATAAGCAGGAGAGGTGCCTCTGCTGTTAAAAGCTTGGTAATACATTAAATTATGCCACTTAGTAAGAAATATCAACTCTTTGATATCCTGATGTTGTATTGCAATTTAAGGCTTTAATACTACATTAAAGTCCTTGAATATGGTGAAGGAAGGGTTGTAAAATTTAATTTCTATAAAATAAAATAATTATAACATACCATACTTTTTTTTGTTTGACTTCCATGAAATCCCTGCAAGAGGCAGTGAATATGCTGATAATGTAATCTATGCTTCCATTGTGCTTCTCTTTTTAAATGAAACTCATATTTTACATTTTGCCTGTACTTTGAAAGCTTTTTTCAATTTGACTTAATGAGATTAAATGAGTATGCATGCTATTTTTTTTGTAGTTATTCTGTAGTGTTAAGTTCTGCACTCAGAACAATTTTAGGCTTTCTATTTGAAGTTATAGAAATACAGGTTTCTGTCTTCTATGAGAATGTACTTATTGGGTTTCTTCACTACATCATTAATTCTAAGTCATTAGATGTTTACAGTTTTTCCTTTGGTGAAACTTACCATGTCAAGAAATCGAAGTATGATATAAAGTAAATAATAAAATATAAAAATTATTATTTGACTAAATTATGAAATATAGACACCTATAATATTTCTAATACATTAAATACGTTGTTTGCTGATTAATAGGTGTGGATGAAGCCACCATAATTGACATCTTGACTAAAAGAACAAATGCTCAGCGTCAGCAGATCAAAGCTGCTTATCAGCAAGCTAAGGGAAAGGTAAAGTATATTGAAGCCAACCTTAAATCTACACTCACAATATCAACGTTGCTCCTTGCTCGGTGCAAATAGCTTTATCTTCATAGAACAAAAAGTTAATCTGTAGTTTGTGAAAACCATGACAGAATGATAATGCCCTGTAACAATATTGCCAGTGCTGACCCTTTGAATAAAGCAGCCACTTTAGAACTGAAGTTCTAACTTTTGAGATTTTGAATGCCTGAGAGATCCTTTAAATCACTAAATGGCTGTGAATGCAAAGATTTCACAGCCACATGGGAGACAGTCTGCTGAGAGAAAGGGAGAGGTGGAAAAGGGGACTTGGAGGCATCCCGCTGAATATTTAAGTTCAGAGACAATACTAAACAGGCTAGGAAATCTGTAGAACCATGAAGCTATTATGCAAGTATACCAACACTATTATGAAATAGGTGTACAGAAGGCAGTGTTCTTCTACCTCGAGTGGTAAAACCGCTAGTTCTTGGAACTGAGAAGCTTGGGAATTCCTGCATGTTTCTGGAAAATATTTTAATTGCTCTTACTTTCCACTAAACCAGATTTTCTCCAGCTGAACCTGTAACTATAAATTGAAATTACAATTGCACTATTGACATACCAGAGTTACTGAACATTTTTTCCTTAGAAAGTCATTCTTTTGATTTGTTTTGTTTGTAACTCTAAGTGTAACTTTTAATGGCCAACATAGAAAATAAGTCTAATATCTCATTTTAACCTAGATTTCCTGTTTTTGATCAGGAAACTGCACTTGTGGTTTTCACAGACCTCTTCCCCCTCAGAGGAAGCTTTATCCTTGCAATTATATTTTTTAAAGACATCTATTAAAATACAGCTTCAAAGGCACTGGAAGTTGTTGTATTATTAGATATCCTAGTTCCTTACACACCATCAAAAGCAGAACGGAACTAACTGTGGACATAATGCTTGCTTCTGAAACAGTCTTGTTGGTTTAGGTATCCCAGCAAAGCAAGCTGACCTTCTCACTCTTACAGCCACAGCCTTGACTCATACTTGGTGGAGAACAGGACTGTAACTTTTAATTTAATAAAATAGAGTACCGACCATTTCCAGATAGAAGGCAGAATGAATAAGTTGTTTTTTCTTTTTCAACTTAAATTTGGGTCAAATTAGAATATAGCCCAAATCTTAACTTCAGGAATAGCAGTTTTTTGTAGAGAAATATTACAGCGTGTTCACAGAGTTTCTGTTTAAAACTATGTATCCTTTATGCAACACATGGATGAATTAAAATGTTATCCAGATGAGCAACTTGGTCATAATCATAACAGCAATATAATCTCATGTTCTTCTAAAACACAAGCAGCCTATTTTGTCTTCTGATGGTGTAATTGGGTGAATGTGGCTGAACTGCAATGCATGAAAGCAATCCTGAATACTTATTGAAGAAGTATTTTGACTAATACTGACACTTTGGCTAATATAAAGGTGACAAATTAAAAAATTCAAGCGGGGCTTCATAATTCTTTCTAGTAGCTAAAGGAATGATGTATACTAAGATTCATCAGAGATCAGACTTAATTTTTGAACAGCTTTTTACTGTTCACTAGCTTAGTGTGTTTCTTGTTCTTCCTGTCACAGAGTTTGGAAGAAGCCTTGAAAAAAGTTCTGAAAAGCCACCTGGAAGATGTTGTTGTGGCTCTGCTCAAAACTCCAGCCCAGTTTGATGCTGAAGAATTAAGAGCAGCTATGAAGGTAAGGCAAAAGCTCCTGAGAAAATCTTTCCTAGAGAGCATGAATAATTATCAGGGCCTGTGACACTGTACTTGGATTTCCAAGTTGGTGTATTGTCTTCATTTTAGTCCCATTTTGTAAAATAAATCTATATCGATAATCCAGGTTCTGGGAACAAGACCCAGCAATCTCTGCTGAATTTCAGAGGTGGAGGAGATTGGCTGCAAATGGTATTCTTTTGTGAGAATGAACACTTTCTGCCTTCTGAAAACTGGTTGCTGATGTAGTGGTAAAAAAACATAGTGTTTACATATATGTTTACATAAGAGAAAAAGGAAGTGGGTATTTTTCACATCATAAATTTTACATTCCTCTCTTCTATGCTGTCGTGGTTTAACTCCGG